TATGTGGGATCCGAACCCTCGGCGGGAGCGCCGCTGCACTTCCCAAGCGGTGCACTGTAGCAGTGCGCCACCGGGCCGGCCCGACTTACTAGTTATTTGAATTAGCCACCCTAACCCATCCTGTTGGGAATGTCCTGATGGCTCTTTGAATTTGGAGCCATCGGGCTCTCTGAGGCAAGACTCAGAAATGACTTGAGCTACAATCACACATTTAGGACTGAGTTCAATTCAGTTACATGTTGTTGCATCACTGCTGAAGCCAGTATAAACATTGTTTAGAAACAGTTGCTCCTGTGGCATCATTCACAGTTGCAATTTCTCCTGTGCTCTCATCACCTGTGTAAACTCCATAAAACATACTAAGTAGTAGAACTTTCAAGACTAGCTGCAGTAGTCTTTAGCATTTTTGCCCACAGACTCCACCACTCACCACAGACTCTGAAATTGTGCTGTCCTGCTGCTTATGTTGAAGTTAACCATGGAGTTAGAGCCACCTGAGGATCTGTTACCAGAATTCTCCCTGCCATCATAGTTCTTAGGGATATACTAAATGTAGAATTTACTGTCAGGATCCTCCTGAAAGGCTTTTAAGAAAAATGGATTCTAGCAAGATGATGATCAGGAAGCTATGTGGCTTTAGGGAGCTGGTACCTTCTGGGAGCTGGAACCTTCATATCCTGAGCAGTTGGTATAACATAATTACTAGATTTATATCAAGTATATAAATATCAAAAATGGGGGGAAAGTTACCCTTAAATAACTGAATTGCCTAGGTCTGTAAGTTCTGGGGAAAGAAACATTGGGGATGACAAAACACATCTACTTCATAGCACAAATTCTTTTTTTTTTTTTTTTTTTGTCTTTTATCTTTTTCCATGTCCCNGGCCGGCCCCTATAGCACAAATTCTTATTGGGCCTATTTCCTCCTTCAAGGTTCATAAAGGTTACTTCAGAAGATTCAATAACTTCATTGTTAGAGCAAGTTTCCTAGGTTATGATTTATAACAACCGCTGACAACCGTTAGCCAGTGTGTGTCAGGGGAAATGAACATGAAACACTCCACAAGTGGGCTATATCACTGCGATAAAACCTCAACTTTATAACCTAAGGTTAGATTCTAAACCATGAGACTCCATTATGGGTGGCTATACATGACCTTTTAATAAAGCAGGCTATCAGTCATCTAAAAAGTGACAAGGAAACAAACTGCAGTTCAAATCCATTGGGAATATCTTTGGATCTCTGATCCTCTGAGGGGGATAGCAGCTAAGTCTTAGAAGAAAAACTATAAACACACAAAGGGACCTATCTACGCACAGGGATATGCTGTTTCCCCCCTTTTAATCTAAATTTATCATGACCTGTTTCTCACCTAAAATATTTTTTTTTAGCACCTATCTCATGAACCACCAAGAGCATTTAAACAACAGTATTTTTTTTAAGCCCACGATGACAACTGTAACTGCCAAGTACGTGATAGAAGAACATGTGAACAGATTTTATTTTCATCTCAAGAATATTTAAATTGTGGGGGGGAACTTCAGCTTTTATTGTTAGAATTTGACATGTTTCAAACGTGATAAAGGGATCACTGTCATCAAACAAAAGTCCACCTAGTAAAGTTTTAGGTGACCAGTGACTTTGTCAATTACATCTGCTGGTCCTGGCCCAATTCCTAGGACAGTTCGAGAGCCTGGTGCAATCTGTGTACGTCCAGCATCTTGGATTAAACTTACAGTCAGTCCCAGCATTTTCGCATGGGTCAATAATTCAACCAAGGTTTCTTCATCAGGGGCTTTGACCACTACTTTGGGCTGGCCACAGTATTCCCACTGTTTTAGCACTTCAGGGTTTCTCCTTTGAATTTGCTTATAGGCAGAAACTGCAGCATGAGCACACTGGGCAGCCACTTTTCCTTTTCCCATCTTCAAGTCATTTCGAACCACAAGAATCATTTTGTACTCTCCACTCTCTCCCAAGATGCTTGCTTCAGTTCCAGTCTCTGTGTCTATCTCACTTGTCAGTCTTTTGGGGAACATCCCAAAACGTACTCCGAGGCTCCAGCCCAGGCACATGCCACAAACAACTCCAGCAGCCAAGCTGAGTGTACCAGGGTGAGCCAAATACTCCATAAGCAAGGATCTGGAGAACATCTTGAGGAAAAGGAAAAAAGTTATCACTACCTAGCACTGAAAAGTTATAGGCTTATCAGATAAACACTTTCTAGGCAGCAAGCAACATTTTTGAACTATATAAAGTCATTCAGAAAAAAGGCAAAATAATAGTTTACATCTTATGCATGTATCCTGTTTTTCACCCTTCTCTACCCGCTGTGTACTAGAAAAGATTCAAGCATCCACATGAAGCAGTTTAGGTCATTTTGAACCTTGATGTGACTAAACACATCAAGTTCAAAATTTCTGTTCCTTACCCTACTAAATCTTATGGAGAAAGGAAATGTAATGTTTTACCAAGATGTCTAAAAGATCTAGAGAAACCTAAAATAACTCACCCCTCTTCTCCAATACAGTGCTTATTCATGTTCTCATAATGCAGTGGTTCTCAATGGAGATGGTACCAAAGAAGGTCTCCTCAGAAAAACCTCAGAGAAGTTTCTGTTGTCACAATAATTGGCCAGGGGTGAGGTGTGCTGACATTTACTAGGCCTGAGCAAGGATGCTAAAAAATCTTGCAAAATGAAGAGTTGTCCTGTTGGACATTAGTGCAGGTAAGAAACTATTAACACATGAGATTAGACCCCAACTTCATTTTACATATGAACACAAAGTAATTTTTGCAGTTTGAATATATACATGTTTGACTTTGCAAGATGGGGTTACGTCTCATAAACCCACTGTAAGTTAAAAATATCCTACATTTAATACACCGAATCTACTGATCATCATAGCTTAGCTTAGCCTACGCTAGATGTGCTCAGAACACTTACAGTAGCCTACAGCTGGGCAAAATCATTTAGCACAAGGCCTGTTTTATAATAAAGTGTTGGCTATCTCATGTAACTTTTTGAATACTGTGCTGAAAGTGAAAGACAGAATGGTTGTAGGGGTACTCACTATCAAGGCACACGGCTGAAAGCACGCTGGGCTGAAGAATGTTTGAAGCATTGAACTAAAACTAATTGCTGGATGACAGGGATGCTACAGTGACAGGGTTATCATTTCTTCTGACGAGGCTTGAGAATAGCTACTAGAAAGCACTGGGGCATAGACACTTGATGGCTTAGAAGGAACAGTGTTCTTCAGGAAGATATCAAGTTTTGACTGTACAGGGTTTTTTTTTGTTTTTTTTTTTTCATTATATATTTCTCTATAACAAGCAAAAGCATCCTGTATCTGCCTGTCTGTTCTTACAAATCTCTTGTGATTGAGGTCCATCTCTTCTAACATCTGCATACCACTTGCTAATAGTAGCAAATGCCTCCACCAGTTTCTCTGCTGTGAACTTTCTCGGTACCTCAGGTATAACTTCTTCCTCTGCTTCAATTTCTTCTTTCTTCCTCCAATTTGATCAGCTCGTCATTGCAAAGATCTTCAGCTACAACTACCCTATGCAGCTCTTCCCTAAAATTTCTGACACCTTCATTACTGGCACTTGCTGCTTCACTGCTGACCTTCACATCATGAAAATTACAGTGCCTTTTGAGGTGATGGAACCAGCCATGACTTGCTATAAACATTTCCAAATATGCAGGATCATCAGCACACTCTTTAGCATATCAAAAAGACTCCTTGCCTTAGCCTGGATTGTCAGTAGGCTAAGTGCCATACACTCAGTATTTCTCGTCTTCTATCCACATGACAAGTAATTTTCCCACATCAATTGTCCCAGCTCTTTTCTTCATGATGACAGTGGATTTAAGTGATGCCAACAACTTCAGTTTATCACTGATTCCCTTCTTGTTCTTTAAAATGATTAGAACTGTGGACTGTTTGACATGTGATGGCTACTACTGGCTTGTTGCCTTCATCCTGGGCAATTATCCTGAGTTTCATCTCAAGAGTAATTGCCTTCCTTTTCTTCATCTCACCAGAAGCAGGAGGCACAGATGAGCGTTTTGTAGACATGATGGGATGCGTAAACGAAATATCCAAAAAAAACCACTGGCAACACAATACAGTGTAGAGTATCAGATGCTTACCCTTATGATTGCATGGCTGACTGGGAGCTACAGCTCGCTGCTGCCACCCAGCATCACCAAAAACTATCTTACTGCATGTTGTTAGCCCAGGGAAATATCAAAATACACAGTACAGTTTCTACTGAATGTGTATCACTTTCACACCATTGTAAAGTTGAAAAATCATAAATTGAAACAAACAAAGGGTGGGCAGGGGGAAGAAGACAGAATAATCACAAAAATTTCTTGAACTAAGTCAAGTGAACAGATACAATGTGGGGGGGGGAGTGGGTGGAGAGGAACAGGTGAAGGGACATAAAAATCAACTACAATGTATTTTGAGAAGTAAAATTTTAAAAAAAGAAAGAAAAGAAAAATCATAAGTTGAACCATTATCAGTCAGGGACTGTCAATACTGAATTTTCCAGAAGTATAACTATCATATAAAATGAAGGAAGATCATCCTTTATCATTTATTAATTTAGAAAATCCTGTTACTCCAGCAAAGCTGTTCATATCTGAGTCACCAATAAGACATATCAGTCTACATTTGAGGCCACTGGATTTATAATGCTTCTATGTATAGATACAAGNTATTTCTCGTCTTCTATCCACATGACAAGTAATTTTCCCACATCAATTGTCCCAGCTCTTTTCTTCATGATGACAGTGGATTTAAGTGATGCCAACAACTTCAGTTTATCACTGATTCCCTTCTTGTTCTTTAAAATGATTAGAACTGTGGACTGTTTGACATGTGATGGCTACTACTGGCTTGTTGCCTTCATCCTGGGCAATTATCCTGAGTTTCATCTCAAGAGTAATTGCCTTCCTTTTCTTCATCTCACCAGAAGCAGGAGGCACAGATGAGCGTTTTGTAGACATGATGGGATGCGTAAACGAAATATCCAAAAAAAACCACTGGCAACACAATACAGTGTAGAGTATCAGATGCTTACCCTTATGATTGCATGGCTGACTGGGAGCTACAGCTCGCTGCTGCCACCCAGCATCACCAAAAACTATCTTACTGCATGTTGTTAGCCCAGGGAAATATCAAAATACACAGTACAGTTTCTACTGAATGTGTATCACTTTCACACCATTGTAAAGTTGAAAAATCATAAATTGAAACAAACAAAGGGTGGGCAGGGGGAAGAAGACAGAATAATCACAAAAATTTCTTGAACTAAGTCAAGTGAACAGATACAATGTGGGGGGGGGAGTGGGTGGAGAGGAACAGGTGAAGGGACATAAAAATCAACTACAATGTATTTTGAGAAGTAAAATTTTAAAAAAAGAAAGAAAAGAAAAATCATAAGTTGAACCATTATCAGTCAGGGACTGTCAATACTGAATTTTCCAGAAGTATAACTATCATATAAAATGAAGGAAGATCATCCTTTATCATTTATTAATTTAGAAAATCCTGTTACTCCAGCAAAGCTGTTCATATCTGAGTCACCAATAAAACATATCAGTCTACATTTGAGGCCACTGGATTTATAATGCTTCTATGTATAGATACAAGCAACCATCAGTTTCTTTTTCTAGGAGAGGAGTATCCAAGCATTTATATAAACAGGGCCACTATATTTATAGTGCTTATAATTGGTGCCCTTGGAATCCTGCCGAGCATAATCCACACGGCATAGATGACAATCCAGGAAACATTTATTTTATCATAAATTTCCTTTTTATTCTTTATGTTAAGGTTAGGACATTTTATTAATGTTTTTGAAATTATATGGTAGATAAATTATGCAGTATTATCAAATACTTTCATTTCAGGATAGTATAGCAGAAGTTAACAAACTTTTTTTAGATATAATTCACATACCATAAAATTCACTCTTTTAAAGTATACAATTCAGTGGTTTTTAATATATCCACAGGGAAGGGTTTGATCCCTATTCTGGCCATCCACCAAAAACTAAATTAATTAATAAATTAATAATAATATATCCATAAGGCTGTGCAACCATCACTGTGTGAACATCATAGAGCATAATTACACAAACCTAGATGGCATAACCTAATACACACCTAAGCTATATGTTATAGCCATTATAATCTTATGGAACCATCATCGTACACATTATATGTTCTTGACCGAAATACCGTCATTTTCCAAAGTGGCTGCACCATTTTATATTTGTTTTACATTTATACACAAATGATTTCTTATAATAAGTGTGTGCTGGCTCTTCTAGGGTTGAGAACTTCTGCTCTAGTGCCTTAGGACTTGGTCTCTAATTCTGAAACAAACAAAAACAATGCCCTTGCAAACAGATCTGCATATAAGTCATGGCTGTCTCCAGATCTCAAAGCAGGAGTGGGAGACAGTAGTTTTAAGGAATAAGCCTGGCCAAGAGGCCTCCAGTAATGGTTAGAGAACAAGGGATTATGGATTATACTTAATCTCTAAAGAAAAGAAAACAATGTCTATAAGTAAAATGTTTATAATGTATCCAAATTATAAAAGTATAAGTTAACATAGTACACTTCTGCACTTATGTATTGCTTTTCTTTTTTTTTTTTCTTTTTTAAAGATGACTGGTACAGGATCTTAACCCTTGACTTGGTGTTGTCAGCACCACGCTTTTCCCAAGTGAGCTAACCGGCCATCCCTATATAGGGATCTGAACCCGTAGCCTTGGTGTTATCAGCCCCACACTCTCCCAAGTGAGCCACGGGCTGGCCCTATGTATTGCTTTTAAAGGCTGGATGTAAGTCAAAGGTACAGTTAATAAAAAAGTAAAACAGGGCCGGCCCGGTGGCGCACTCGGTAGAGTGCGGTGCTTGAGAGTGCGGTGGCGCTCCTGCTGAGGGTTCGGATCCCATATAGAGACCGGTCCGCTCACTGGTTGAGCACGGTGCGGGCGCGACACTGAGGGTTGCGATCCCGTTGCCGGTCGCGGTGTGGGCGCGACACCGAGGGTTGCAATCCCGTTACTGGTCACGGAAAAAAAAAGGTAGCTCCAGAAAGGATTGCAAATGGAGAAAGGGATGCAG